AGAGAACACTCTTCCAGATAGTCCAAGATGCGCTGGAGGTGGCCCGTCAAGGTCGAACATGCATAGTTATTGCCCATCGTCTGTCAACAATTCAGGATAGTGATGTCATAGTGATGGTCCAGGAGGGAAAAGCCACCGACAAAGGTGAGCTCAACTTTTTTACCCATTTTCGTCTGGCCTGGGTAACTAGATAAATCAATATTTGTGAAATCCATGACGTCATCACGTGTTCCCTTCTAGGCACTCATGAACATCTGCTGTTGAAAAACGAACTGTACCAACGGTTATGCGAAACACAACGACTTGTTGAGTCGCAATGAGTCTCACCCATCGATCGATAAGCTTTCACCAACGATCGATAAGCTCTCACCACCGATCGATTAGCTTTCAGTTGGTCATTCGTTGATTTTTGTTGATTACGAGTTCTATTGTGTTGTATATATGACTCGATTTTGATCTTACTGATCTGTGAATGGTCTTCATTTACCCCTAACTTTCTTAGTAACATATCGATAGCATGATTAATTTGAACAGATTGTTATAAAGATTAATATTCATAATGGCCTGTTATCAGTGATTACCGAACTGGCTTCACCAAGATATCTTGTCCTTTAAAGAAAAAGAATTGTGACAGCGCTATTGATTTCGAAATGTAGTCGGTCTTTCGGAAAAGCTCACCTTTTCGGTCCAGAGATGCGTGAAAAGAGCCCTCGGATATTGTCGAAGTAAGTGCACCAATTGCCTGGCTCCTACTTGAAAATGACCGCACGTGGTCTGCGTCTCGCTTATTCCTATGCTCTCTCGTTCACTTATGTCGTGTTATATTGTTATGTGTTCGAGTTTACATTAGCTCGCCGAGAAACTGCATCATGATGCCCCCTAACTGGAATAGACCCCTGATTTTTTCTGCTGAATCTTCTAACCTCCCAAAATACCAATTATGAATGCGACCTTAGACCTTAAACAAATCCGCTTCGAGCAGCGGTGATCAATATGCATCCGATCTTCTTCGCGGACTCTTCGATTCTCCGAAAACACTGCGGATGCGAACTTACCGTGGACCTGAAAACATGAGATT